ATCCAACGAGATGGGGGACCAGCAGTTAGTGTAATGGCTACGTCACTGGACTCCCATGTAGTTGACTGCGGTTCGAGTCCTGGACCTGGTGGCTTAAATTCATGCTGGGCACGTGTGCGTGCGTGCCCAAGATCCCGAGAGGAGAATGGAGGAGAAGGGATTGTGGCGTGGCCATCCCCCCTGGGGGGTGATTTCTCACTTTCTGTCTCTTTGTCTCCCTCCGTCTTTCTGGGGAGCACACATGCCCTATAGCAAAAACCTCTCAAAAAAAAAAAAAAAAAAAAGACCCAAGAAGATGGTAAGCTAGCTTCCTGAGAGCAGGGACTACATCACATAAACTCAAGAACCAGTCTTGCACCACCTAGTGGAGGGATGATCACAGAGCAAGTAGGGGATTTTTTTCCCCCTCTCCCTCTTTATGTCTCTCTCTGGCGAGCATATGCACCCTGCAGCAATTTTTTTTAAAAGTTCACTGGAACTAGAATAATATCACTGGCACTCAAGTTCCTTTCTCTTTTCCTTCTTAAAAATTTTTAAAAAGTTTATTTCTTTCTTCCATGAGTTAGAGAGACAGGGAGACAGCCCCAAACAAGGTCCTGACACCAGGATCCCCTTCAGCCTCAGCCAGTCCAGCATACTCAGGGACGTCTCCAGACACAAACCCAGAACCTTCCCGTCAGTCAGCCCCTAACTCATGTCTGACACAGCCATTAGCTTCTCTGCCACTCTGAGGTCAGATTTCCCACTTTCTAAATGGAATGCTCTTGGTGAAAGAGCTGCTCTAGGAGCCCCACAGAGCTGAAAGAGATTCTTGAGGGGTCAGCAGGTGGCATAGTGGTTAAGGCACTGGACTGCCACACAGCCAACCACAGTTCGAATCCTAGACCCGGTGGACTTGAAATTCATGCTGGTTTGTGTATGTGCATGCCCAAAATCCCGAGAGGAGAATGGATTGCAGCATGGCCATTCCCCCGGAGGTGATTTCTTGCTTTCTGTGTCTCTCTGTCTCTCTGGTGAGTGCACATGCCCTATTACAAAAATCTCTAAAAAAATGAAAGAGGAAAGAGATTCTTCAAACCAACAAATCTAACTGTACCCAGCCCCCTTTATACAAATGAGAAAGATGAGATTTAAATAAAAAAGACTTGTTTAACACAGCACGGTGACTCACACACACAGTTGGCCAAGAACTCCCATCCCATGACTCTTAATTCAGTGCTCTGACCCCTGTCCTGGTGTCACTTTACTATGTAAAGTGAATCAGCCACTCAGCCAGAGAACCCAGAAATCTCTGAGAAAAAAAATGGAATAAACTGCTCCACTCCGGCAGCTGCCCGTCAGCCCTCAGACGCGGA